AAGCACTCCCGAACAATAAATGTGGGAGCTTCAGTTCGCAAGCAAGCTAAGGAGCTTGGAATTCCCTGTGAGGACAACTGCCCAGCCCAGATCAGTGACTGGCTACTAGCGAGTATATTACCAAATGCGGCTTCTTTGATGGGTCAATCCACAATTAAAGTTGGCTACAAAATTAAAGCAGAAAGCATAAACCTGTTTCTGATCTGTCTGTGTGATCCGAGGGCAGGGAAGTCTCCTGCCTTTCATCATGGCTGCGCTCAGCCAGTAAGGTTACATGTTGAGGCAAGAGAAGACATCCCCTTGTTCGAGGACGAGCTCAAGGCAACACCTGGCCACAACACCATCATTGGAAAGGAAGAGGCTACCCAGCTCTTTGGACAGTTACTGGGAGGGTCAAGAGAGAAAAGCAGGATTGACCTGGAAAGGTTGATTCAGCTGTATGATGGGAACCCCGTGGGTGTACACAAGTGGTGACAAGACAGCATGCCAGGTCATCGACAATCCAGGGGTGTCATTGAGTGGATATGGTCAGCCCAACCGATTTTTCCCCATTTATGTTAAGTTGAAGGGGAGAGAAGATGGTGAGGCTGACAGGATGATTGTATATCAACCACTCCCGCATCACTAGACAGCCCATGAGACAAGAGAGTTCATCACAAAGCTGAATGACTTCGTAACTTAAAGCCATTTTGGAATTTCCCTTACTCCTGTTGCCAAGGTCCAGCTTGTCAGGCTTACAAGATCTGTTCTTCTTGCAAGTTTACTGCTTAAGTGCGGCGATATCTCCGTGAATCCTGGACCTTCTACTAAAATATCCTGTCCTCGGTGTCTCAAGACAGTCAGAAGAAATCAGGCTTTTGGAATTTGCATTTGATGCAAATCCCACTTCCATTTAAACTGTCTGGATCAGGGTTTTTAATTAGCGCTCGCCCAGTCACCAATGGAATTGTGAAGCCTGTCAGGTGAGTGCAAATCGTGAATCTCTCATCCAGTTTGGCAAATGGAATTTTCATTCAGTTCATAAAAAAATATAAAACCTACCAGTACTTTTCAGTTAAAAAAGGAAGCTGGAAGCTTAAGAAACCTAGTACATACACACACATTTGTGTTTCGTGTACGCACGAAGCCATTTGATGCATAAATATATCAAACACCTTCTACAATAATTACATGAAGTAGATAATCATTGTCATGTTACTGCTGGTCATAAACAAATCGGGCCACTGAGTCTGAAGGCAACTATGGTGACCCGACTGGTGACCCAAACTCTATCTACTCATGGGTTACCACAAAAATTACATGCAAAGTAAGAAATTTAAGGTTTATTTATTAATTAAACTGATTTGAAATTGAAAGTAAGATTCTTTTTTCTTTGAAGCTACTTAGTTTTGGAGAACCATCAACACAATGGTTATAAATATGCAATTGACAACACCTCACTTTGTTACTTTTTTGAAAATGTGGAGATAGCTTCCTGGAGTATCGATTCCCAACAAACAGGATGTAAAAGAAACTCCTCAAAAGGCAGATTCCAGAGAGTATGAGAAGACAAGATTGAGAAAATTTTCTTTGAAATGGCAAGTTGGCCGGCCTTGGTTAAAAGATGATGAAAATAGCATGACATGCGAGTGGTATATGGAAAACAAACAAACCCTGATTTCACAGAGCATTTTAACTTCAAGGAAAATTCATAGATGGCTGCACAAGCCATAAGGCAGAATCTATCACCTATCACAAAAACAGTGCATCTCACAAGCTCGCTAGCCAGTGCCACAAGGCAAAACAAAATCCAGAAAAAACCCCCGCATATTTGGCGAGGCAACAGTTGCTAAAACAGTTCAACCGGAAATTGAGGTTGTTCTTCAGAAACCAACCGTCATGCCGAACAGTGCATTCAAACAAAACCAGACCTGAGGTGGCACGTAACAGCATGCAAAGAAATGCATGCATTCTTCGCGTTGAATGTTTTGTTTGGAATAAAGTCCTTGCTGGAAACAAGAATGTACTGGTCAAAAGACAACTTTATTGGTGTTCTAACCATTCAAAAAGTAATGCAGAGGAATCGCTTCTAGAAGACTCGACAATATCTTTGTTTAAACAATTGTTTAAACATGTTACTGCGAGATAACCCTGCCTATGACAAGCTCTTCAAAGTGCGTCCTTTGTTGGATAGACTAGCCAACACATTCCGCGAAGAATATCGGCCATCAAAGTTTGTTTCAATCGATGAAGGAATGGTCAAGTACAAAGGAAGACTTGGCTTCAAACAGTACATGCCCATGAGGCCCGTGAAACGGGGCATTAAAGTATAGGTGCGTGCTGATGTGACGAATGGTTTTGTAAGCACCATGCAAGTCTAAACAGGCAAAAAAGATGGTGGCCAGCCTGAACAGGGTCTTGGACATTGTGTTGTTTGTGACCTTGTCAGCCATCTGAAGGGGAAAAATTATCACATCTTTTGCAATAATTTTTTCACTTCATTTCGACTGGTTGAAGATTTACTGTTCGACAAACTCTATCTTAGTGGAACAACACATGCCAATAGAACTGATTTTCCCAAAGACTAAAAGCTAAGAAGCCCGAAGTGAAAGCGCTCCATCGTGGCGAATCTGTCTTTCATCAGAAAGGGAACATTCTCGCATCCGTTTGGAAGGACAAAGAAGCCGTGGCTTTTATAAGTACCCAATGCAATGCAAGGGGCGGTATCTGTTGTGGTTTTGTCTGGATGTAAGCATTGTGAATGCGTATATTTAAAGGCAAATTGCGGATAACCATCCATATTTCACACAGCTTCAGTTTCGCATCGAAGTGGTGAAGATGATGATCAGCGACTTCTTATCCCATCAACATGCCATTCAAGAAGGAACCGTTCAGAATGGACATTGGCCCGTAAAAATGAGTAAGGGAAGGTGTAAGAGATGCTTGAAAAGAAAAAAGACAACGTTCTGCCAGATGGGATGCGACACATGTGGCAAGAGGTTCTGCTTGGATTGGTTCAAGAATCACAACACCAAAGCCTAATGTGGCACGAAATTCAAACGCCTCGAACAATGAACGCTCTTTTGTTTCGGTTAAAAAAAAACTTTAGAAGACATACCAGTAATTCTGTTTGTGTTCTTTTGAAATTGATAATTTTCGCTGTAAATATTTCCGTAAAATATTTTTGTTTTACCTACCTTATATCGAGAAATAACCTAGTGAAACAACATATAAGCTTTCATTCATTGAATCAAAATGGTGTGAAGAACAGTTTTGCGTGTTGCATGATTTTGATTTTTGTTTTGTCAACTTATTTTCTCATATTGGAGATGCTACTTATCTTAAATGAAAACTTCAATCTCTGAAGAATAAACTTTCCCTGCATTGCTAAGTCTAAAATTGCCTGTTTCACTCACTATTTTGCTATAGTTGTATGGCACCTCAAATTTGCCTTTCAGTAGTCACCATGATACCCGAACCCCATGGGCAATTAGGGCATTTATCTAGGTAGGCACCCTTGGGAGTGAGAGGGTTACTATCATGGTGCAATGACATTCAATAGTCTTCCAATGAACACCAAGACTTTATCAGCAAAGGAATGCTTCCCGGCTATTGCTCCTTTTTATTCTTAAGCTATTTTTAGAAAATTCTGAAATTGAACATTGTTACTTTTTTTATCAGTTGGTTCTTATTGATATGTGTATATATATAATTAATTTAACTCTCTTTTATTTTATGTTTGTTTCGTCAATATAATGAATTATTAACTTGATTTTCCTTGATTGACACTAGCTTATGTAATTAAGCCACGTGAATAGTTCAGTTTTCAGTTCAGATACTTAAGATTCAAAGATACGTACAAGTTCTGCTAACCTGTCTTGCTGACCCGTGTTCTGTTATACCCTGACCTGTTTCATCTGTTGCTAACCTGTACGTAGCTATACACCGTGAAACAATCCTACTAGACATCGTCATAGAAGTAAGTTCTCAGTGCTGTAATTCTATCTAATAGTTTTACTCGTGTGTTTATGAATTGATGGTTCCTGTTCAATTTCTCAAATGTATCTAGTTCTTTTCTTTAGATCGAATAATAATATATTGGAATAGATTATACGATTTGCGTAGCCTAGTTGGATTGCCTGTTTGGTTTTGTTGGACCAATGTTAAACAGGGGCTCCGTTGATACCAGTCTTGTGGTCGCCCTGTTTAAATATCAATTATTATAATGTTATTATTATACTAAGGTATGACTGGGAGATCGCTGACCTACCGGCCATGTGCATATGTGGTGACTTATTTACCGTTGACCATGCTATGGTCTGCAGGCATGGGGGGCTGATCATTCAGAGGCACAATGAGATTAGGGACTTAGAAGCAGAAATGTTGCACATGGTTTGCACCGACGTAGAGACAGAGCCAGTCTTTCAGGAGATCATTGGGGAAGAGCTAAATAGGGGCGCAAACAAAGCGCCTGATGCCCGACTAGATGTTTGCGCGTTTTGGGACAGACAGCAATCTGCGTTCTTCGATGTTCAGGTGTGCCATCCAAACACAGATTCGTATCGAGAACTGTCTCCGAAACAGATATTCCAACTACATGAAAATGAGAAGAAGAGGCAATACAGCAGGGGGGTTTTGGAAGTGGAGCAAGGGACATTCACACCATTAGTCTTTACAGGCACAGGTGGAATGGCCGATGAATGCAAGAGATTCCATAGCCGCCTCGCTGAGC